AGAAATAAAGATTTAGACACGTAATTTTTTAAAGGGGCATTGAGAACCCTTAATTTTTTTTTTAATTTTTTCTTTTTTGGACGTTCTCGCGTACTTTTTTAACATAACTCCAAAGTTCTTTGACGGACGATTAATGGCAAAACCTTTCCAACCCAATACCAAGAAGACAAACGGATAGAATATGTAAATGAGATATACTTTAAAAGGATAGAAGCTTTGATGAGAAAGGGGCGGGAAGTTTAGAGATAACTTAGTGTGGAATCATTGGGTCAAGAGTTAGATGTCCCATAGCTCTAGAAGAAGGATACGTTCATATAAAATTTAAAAATTTTAAAAGTCTAAATTTTGCATCTAAAAAATTAAGTTATAGGTAGCCTCAACTGGGTGAAGGAAGGAGACTTGCAAAAGGGAATATTTTTTATAGGAAGTTAGATGAATCAGTTAATTTATTATAATTAAGATAAATGATCTAGTTGGGATCTGACTTGAATATAAGGTTTAATTGGTTTTACTCCATTTAAGAAAGTTGTCAATTAGAATTGTAATATATGTTATTCTTTAAAAAAAGTTGTATTAAGAATCCAATATGTCTCATCATTTAGATAATCCCACACCTCTAGCTTCGGGTTCCCAATAGACATAGTCATCACAGGATGATTTTTGCTCAACCGTTTTCCCAAAATCTTGCACTTGTTCATGTATTTCTATGAGCTAATCTATTGTCAGCTCTTGATTTTGGGAGAATCCAGCAGTTCTTGAACGTCTTCACTCTCCACTTTTAAGTTTATTTGCCTTTTAAGATAGACAGCTTCTTCAATAACACATTACCTATTTTACCATTTTCTTCTTCTGAAACAAAAGACAAATTGACGAGATTTGAAAACCATGTAACTCTTGAATCGCGTAAGACGGGATAGCGTACATTTAGTTATTGCTGTACTTGCCAAATAAAAATAAAAATTGCTATTAGATGAAAAATTAACTGTATCACGTTTGATTTCATACCATTTTGTGCACGTACCTTAAATGCTTGCGTGCGTGAGTGTGTGTGTTTTGTATGAATGTGTTTTTGTGTGGGGGGTGGGGTTGCATGCGTATTCTGCAAGCTTTTGAGATTTGATTTTTAACTGGTTATTTTATTTTGAGGTCCTGAAATTCTCACAGGAGTACATAACATGAGAAAATAACAATTTCCTTGTTCATCAAACTGAAAAATATATACTTCGGTAGCAGCGATTACTCTTGCAGACACAAATTTAATTGAATTGGAAAATGAAAAAAACAATTCCAGTATGACTTTTGGCAAAAATAATTTGAGGTGGAACATAAAACCATTTTTTTGTCTTCTGAGTACGGTATTATGATTGTCTTTATTTACTTTTAATGTATTAGTTCCCTAAACAATAGAAATGTAAGAAGAAATAAAATGTACACTCTATATTTTCCTTTTTGATTTGTTTTGAGTAATTTTTTTTAAAATGGCCAAAAAAATATTTAAAATTTTGTTTATTTCAAATAGTTCTACATCTAAAGATATATTTTACGGCAATAATCCATAATACTGTAAAGTAATTAAATGAATAAGGAACTGGAAAGAAAAAAATAAATAATTGTATAGCATCAACCATATAGTAGAAAGAAGGATTGATTGATTTATAAGAAAAAAAATACAATATGAAGTGAAACGAAAGCATCCTTGATGGAATTCATAATTTTAATCCATATTCAGTGATGAGAACAATACTAGAGCTCACCTCCCATGCTAAAATGTCATTAATATCAACATCAACCCATTTAAATAGCGAGTTTAGAAATTTTCAGATACACCAGACTTTTAAAAACAAGACGAAACGGTAACAATTCGGACCATGTTTTTACTATAAGGACTACTGACTGTTTAAATCAGTGATCATCAAACAGCCCAGGGAAACCCCCGGATTCCACAGGGCCCTCCCAGGATTCTACGAATCCAATAAAAATTCGAGAAAAATAAGTTGAAAAGCCCATTCCTAGATGTTTGTATGTTACAAAGTATCTCAAGTTTCCCCTCTTAAAAAATCAAAAATTTTATTTTTATGTAAATGTATTTTGCAGCACTTCTTAAACTTTTATTATAATATAAGAATACTAAAACGTCCTCTAGGGGTTTACTTTATACATAGGACAAAAAAAAAATAAATAAATAACGTACCATGAAATAATTGGGGTCAAAAGAAACTTGGTATGAAAGGGACATGTGGGAGATAAGAAAATTGAAATGCAGCGTGATTGCGCATTCCTTAAACATGAGGGCGTTTAACGCATTCACCGTGGATACAAAAGAGGTAACCAAAACTTGTTTGAGTATGCTGAATCATTTACAAAGAAAAGAGCTGAACAAAATGCCAATAGGCCGTTTTCGAAGACAATATGAGCAGCTGTCGCAGTTTGAGGGGGGCAGAACACGGCGAGGGCCCTGGGCGTTATGGAACCGTCAATGGACAAATTTCATACGCATAGTCAAGATAACGAGCCACGGTTTTCGGCCAATCAAAAATTAAGCACGTCATAATTATATCAAAAATATAACCGCGTTTTCACCCAAATTTATTTCAGTGCTTAAAATTTGCCAATTTTTGCTTTTGGGAAACTTTCTTTTAGAAAAAAATTTTTACAACGATATAATAATGCACATAATTAAAAAAAATTTCACTTTTTTAAAAAATTCTAAATGGTTTTTTTTTAAATTTTGAGAACTGTTTGAAGTTTTTAACATGCAACTTTTTTATCCAATCATATCAAATTTTAAATGTCTCAAATTTACAAGTTGAGCAACTGTAGGTAAATTTTTTAATCAATCAGAAACACGTGTTTCCCGTTATCAGTGACCATCAGAATTTTGTCCATTAGGCCCGCCTGATTTGTTGGGGGGAGGTTTCGGACCCGTGGATGCGAAAATGCTTTCCGAAACCAGCTGGACCCCCGATAGACCAGTCTCGAAGACCACCACACGCAAAATGTAAGCATACAGCCAACTCTTATCGGGATCCGCAGGTAACCTTCACTGGGCCCCCCGTGTTTTCTTACCAAAACCCGGGATTTTTAGATCTTACCGGGGAAATGGGTTCCCAATACCAGTAGTAAAAATTTTAGAAAAAAAAAAAAAAAAAAAACAGGCATTTTTTTGTTGTTGTTTTATTTGCTAGTTTTATTAGGCAATATAAATATCACAAAAAATAATTTGGAACTTATAAATTATAACAGTATATAAAGAATAACAAAAAGCAAGGGAACATCTTATGCATTTAAATCACAAAAAAGTGTATAAATATCACTGTTCAGACTGTAGTACTATTGAAAATTTCTGAAATGTGATCTTAAAGAACATAATGCATCAATTGTACTGTATGATATACAAATACAACATGAATAACAAATTCAGCAGCCTAAAAAAATTAGAAATATTACGCACTTCCTTCACAACTGTAACCTTGTTTTCAAAGATATGAATATCAGACCTCGAATCCTTTCGTGTGTGGGCGGTATCTCTTAGCTGTAATAGGATAGTTTTAGCAAACCTCCTTGGATGATTCACATATTTTATCACTTGTCCTGATTGTGCGATGCAACTTTATATTCAAAGCCTCATTAATTTTGCCCGTTAGGGTGACATAAAAACAAAACCGTATTCTACTTTGCTATATTGGTGATACTGAAACATATAGAAGATGCAATTTAAAACATTTCTAGTAAATACCGAAAAAAGAAACGGTATTTAAACTTGTAAATACCGGTATTACAAAATTTTGCAATTGACTTAAAATACCTGTATTCGGTATCAGGTATACCGGTCTTGAAATCCCTAAATATAACTAATAAACAACGATATGTTTTTAAATATAATGTTTCCAAAATAATGTGTTTGCCTCTCCTTAGCAAAATACACCTGCTTGTGTTCTGTATTCATACTGATGGTTTGAGATAACAAGACTAAATCACCTTCTGTTGTCAGCACATATTATTAATTACGTAAGAGAACTAATCTCAGGTTATTTTTGCCTTTCCCAACCAAGTTCTCAGATCTGAAAGGGAAGTAAGTTTTTCAGTTAATCCCCTTTATCTACAGCATTTCGATTCGCTGTAATTTTTTTTTTCGTGCAATATATTTTTTCAAGAATAACTACATTGAAAGTTATGTTATATACACAAATAAAATACTCAGCATCGAAAAATTTAATACGTCTGAGCTAACTAATTAAATTGGTACTTTTAAAGTATATATATATATAACGTAAGTACATGGAAGATTAAAATATTAAAATAAAACAAAATGACCGTATGCTTTTTTAACGAAGTTTTAATTCTTAAAAATGCTAAATAACAAGAAACCACTCATATTTTTAAGCACACAATATTTATTTTTAAAAATTAAAAAAATTTAAAATTTATTCACCTTTTTTTAAACATAAAAGTAGGTTTAATTTTATGATACTCAGAGAAACAGTTTTACTTGTCCCTAATATACAAAAATTAATTACACTATGTGCATTTTAAATGAGGTTTCAATTGAATATTTCTTAAAGTCCTGACTTGGGGTAGGAAATACTGCATTTCCTGAACAGGAGCTACTTCGCTTTGAATCTTGTTGAATCTCTTGATCATATTCTTAAGAATATAAAAAAGTATGTGTGTGTACTTATGTACGAACGTAAGAAGTTATACTTCTTTGGCGTAACAAGATTAAAATCTTTCTAAAAATCTTTAGCAGGGCAAGCTGGGCCAAGGACGAAATGTGGTCACGAGCAGAGTCGCGAACAATACTAACCTTCAGTCAATCGGACCAACCAAACCTGAGATAATCACAATTTCAATAAAATTAAACACCCCTGTAATGGAACCATAGGACCAATAATATGGGGAGGGGGTCGAAGGCGGGAATGATCTGTCCCGTTCTGCATATTTCTAGACAAAGCATTTTCGTATCCGTTCCTACGGAACGCAAAGCAAAGGTTCGCTGATGCGGGAGTATAGCTTAGTGGTAGAGCGTTCAACTGAAGATCGAGAGGTCCTCGGTTCAAACTCGGTTGCTCCCTTCTTCAGGTTAGTGAAGACAAATATTTTTTTTTTTGAGAAATTCGAAGGTGGGAATGATCTGTCCCATTCTGCATATTTCTGATCAAAGCATTTTCATATCCGTTCCTACGGAACATAAATCAAAGGTTTGCTGACGCGAAGGGATAGCGCAGTGGTACAGCATTCGACTGCAGATCGAGTGGTCCTCGGTTCGTACCCGGGAGACTTCTTCTTCAGGGAAGTGAAGATAATTTTTTTCTTTTGAGGATTTCGAAGGTGGCAATGATCTGTCCCGTTCTGTATATTTCCAGACAAAGCGTTTTCGTATACGTTCCTACGGAACACAAAGCAAAGATTCAGTGGCGGAGCATTCGGCTGCAGATCGAAAGGTCTCCGGTTCAAACACAGGTGTCCCCTACTTCAGAAAAAGTGAAGATAAATAATTTTCTGAGAATTTCGAAGGCTGGAATGATTTGTGTGTCCCGTTCTGTATATTTCTCGACAAAGGATTTTCGCATCCGTGTCGGTTTTACTTCATATCCGTGACGGGGTGCGCGCGCATTGAAAATATTTACCCTCATCCTATTTTTCTAACGCCCCAAAAGAAGTAGGTCGCAATAGCCGAGTGGTATAGGTATCGGATCGTGGCTTGCCTCGTAGCGAGTTCCAGCCCAGTACCACTAAATACTCGCCGTGTAGGGCAGCGATGCACGTTAAATCTGTCGAGATCTGAAACGTCCTCCCGTTGGTGTGGTAGTTTGGAGAGGGGGTGCCAGTTCAGGTGTCGTCCATGTCACACTTGTCTATGGTTGAAAATTACTTGGTCCGTCGCCAAAAGCCCTCGTGTAGCTGAACATTGCGACGTTAATATTCAATCAATCAATCACCCCAAAAGAAGTATAACTTCAAAAAAAAAAAACCATGTGATGGTTATTTACCGCTACTTCTTTTTCTGAAGAATCATATGTTAGGGTTTTACTGCTTTCAGATGTTAGGCTCAGCTATAAATCCAAAGTCTCTTAAAGGCTGAGCTACTTTTTTCTAGACATACTAAGAAGGGGAAAAAATTATATCGCCTTGGAAACCTCCTATTATTATTAAATCTCAATTACACATAAATAAATTAAATGCTGTTAATTTTTAAATAAAAATAGATATTTCGCATTTAATTGCGAGTGAAGAGAAAACAATATCAGATTGAAATCTTAAAGTTTTTTATAAAACGTTAAAATAAAACAATAAAAAAAAGAAAAATAAACTAAACAAAAATTCCAAAAAAGTATACCTCTTGCTTTAACTCCCTGTTTCCGGTTTAACTAGTATACATGTTCGACGCTTAAGGTATTGACTACATTCGGAACCTTGATTTTAAAAAAGCGCATACATTTATAATTTTCATGATATTGAGTGTCACTTAGATTAGAATACATGTACAAAATTGGTTTAAGGACATTTTGACAGTAAAATATTTCGACAAAAAATTAACTTAGAGTAACCATTTTTTAAAATGTTCTTCTTTCATGAAAACTGCTTCTATTATAATAATATTTTGCCTATATATAGCTAATACCTCTGTAAAGAGGCTCAATTATGATTTTTGAAAAATTCACATTATTTTCAGAGTTACAACCCATTGAAATAATGTGACCGGTGTATTTTTCTTAAAATTTCTCCACTCTGTTGTCGTAATCATGGATAAACCCACTTCTAAGTTATATATTTCAAAAATTCTAGTTCAGCTCTGTACAGAGGTCTGAGTTATATACAGGCAAAATATCATTATAATAGACGCATTGTTCACAAAAGGAAAATATTTTGAAAATGGGTCATTCTACATTCATTTTTTGTCAAAATATTGTACTTAAATAATTTTTTTATTGTAATAATAGTCTTAAAACAATTTTATATACATTTTCTAATCTAAGTGACACTAAATATCATAAATATTTTTCATTTATACGCTTTAATCTGGTTCAAACATATCGGATACCTTAGTAATCAGTTTATTTGGGTTATATTTCTCTTCTATAGAGTCTTTTTTTCTTTTTATTACATGTTACAATTGTAAATCGTGTTTGTTATATGTATTATATCTACTCACAATTGTAATGTGATTGATTGTCGATTTTTTCAGGCAAATAAATTTAGAAGTGAAAAGGGATTACGTTACATAACTGCTGGTTTCTCACAATCAGGACATGACAATTGATGAGCTTATAGAAATATATGAACAAGAGCAAGACATTGAAGAACTTGAGTCTTGAGACCCAGCTCAATCAGAATGTTAAAATAGTTAGGAATTTAACATTAGACATTAGTTTAATTAAAAAAGGGTTACAATTTTTTGAAAATATAGAGACTCCAAGGAAGAGCGAATTTTTTCAACAATACAATGAATTTAAAAAATAATTATGAACATTCTATATGGAACTTTCAATGGAGAAAAATCTTTGATTCGGTACACAACTTTGTTAGACATCCAGATTTTACGAAATCTTCTGTATCAGAATTACTTCGGCTTGCGATTTCGTGTTGGTGTTACCTAAGATTTTGATAGCATTTTTTTTTCTAAGATATTATCTCCTTTCGTCTCCGACCTGACTAAAAATAATTTATTTGTATATATATTAAATTTTCTCGAATTCTACTTGCACGGTTATTACTCACAAGGGCACGGCTATTGTGTAATAGTAGTACTCCCTTAGGGTGTTCAATTCTCAGTGTAATAGCTCCGAATGTGCAGTCAATTCAATGAAAAAAGCCTCCGAAATCCATACTTAGCTTTTATACATTTAAGTTATAATTAGCTGGGGTGATGCAGTGGCATAGAATGATAGTGTGCTTGCATTGGCACGGTTGTTCAGGGTTTGGGTTACGTGAACAGCTTGTTTGATTTTAAATTTATTTAATTATTTTAACTATTAAATAAATAAATTTTAAAAAGGCTTAAGAAATATTTTATATAATTTTTTTTTGTATTTTAAAAACTTAAACAGTTGTTGTGATCACATAAATATTTATAAATATTTTATAAATACATTATAATAGTAATTAATTATTATAATATTATTAATAAATATAAAAACATTTATTATAAAACATATTATATTGAATATTAAATTGTATTTTATATAATTATTTTGTAATTTGAAAAGTAAAAAGTTACAAATAGTTTTATAAATATATAAAACATGGTTATATAATATATAAAATATTCTATTATACTATTTATTTTACAGTATTTTAAAATTAATATAAAAAAATAACATCTATTTATTATTTTATTATTAATTTAATTATTTTACAATTACATAAAATATTTAATAAGCCTCTTTTAAATAAATTTATTTAATTGTAAATATAATTTTAAATACATCAAAAAATACATAACAAGTCGATTGCGCGACTCGAACCCTGACCGACCGTGCGGAATGCAGGTATGCTATCAGTTATGGCTAATTAAAACTTAATTATATAAAATCAAAATACGAATTTCGATGTCAATTTTCTCTGAATTGACTGCCCATTCATCGCCATTACATTGGAGATTGAGCAACCTTAAAGCAATACTAGTATTAAACACAGTCTCGTCCCTAAATTAATTCCTTATAGTCGTTCCCTCCCCTTGTGAGTCCCACCTATGCGTAAGTTCGTAGTATTACTGTACTCTAAAATCGAGATATTTTATATATAATATAATTAAATGAAACGTATGCTATTTCAAAGCATTACATGAGATTTCTCGTTTTTAACATAGAACAGATAAAGTTCCCTTTTCTAATTGCTTCTAACACTCTCACCGATTATTTATAATCAATTTTATGAAGTAGGTTGGAAATCACTAATCACTATTAGACTCATTTATACGCAAGGATATAAACTCACTACAGAAATTACATTGACTAACCACTGACCAACCAGAGAGCAGTCTCTAAGCTTAATCTATGTCAAAGTACTTTCCACCCCATCATGAAGAAGAACCTTAAACACGCCTCTGGATCTCCTCGCCTCATCCAATGACAACGTGCACTCAGCAGAACGAAAAATCTCCATTCTGCCATGCCCCACATCAAAGAACTTTAGATATGGGATTGAGAGCTGTTTTCACGGTCCAGATGCCCGCAGAAGAACGTTCAATCAACACCCATTTACTATGTTAAACCTACGCAAACCATCATAGTGCGCACATAATTGATAGAAACAGAGTACAGAATCTGATTAGGGTAGAACTATTTTGAGATCTCAATTCCATTTCAAATCCTATCTAACAAATAGCGCAGATGAATCCTTTAAGACTATTTTTTCTGATTACATTTGTACATGTCAAATACTTTTGAAGTCAACTTAAAATAACAAGATATACCTTAACAAAACATATTGTGCACCCGATTGGAAGGTATTTCCGACCGACCCCTTAATGCACCGATCTATGTTGACAATTGGGACAGAATTCTGGTTGGTAACACGGCACTTATCACGCAGGGCATGTCATACCCATCATCTAACTTTTTTCATCGCTCCTTCTAAACCTTTTTTTGGAAAACTGATAGTTTCTCGGGTAGCTGACTTTAAGGTCATATCCTTTGAGGGGCCTTAGCTTGTAGGCGAATTCCAGATCTATAGTTTTGGATACCGCCTCTTCGGGTATATCATACCCTCCACGTGAATCACCGTTAGAGTTCTGAATGCATGAGCCCGTTTTAAATCTACCTTATGCTAAGGCCTATTATTGTAGTTATGATGAAGAAATGAAATATTTAAGTAATTTAATAGATATCGTACAATAGTATTTTTGGATAAAAAAAATTCTCTTTGCGGTTATGATGAAGAAAAATCAAATGATAAAAATAATAACAGCAAGTATGATTCCTCCACTGAAATCGATCCAGATTTAGAAGAAAGAGACACTGTTGAAAATGAATGTTTTATATACTTATAAACTCAACTCATTTGGGAAGAACGTAATTTTAAAGGAAACAACTGGTACACGTCTTATCCACATTCAGATAAACTTTTGAAA